GTTATAGTCACGATGTTAATATGCATATCAATGGCGTCTACTTGTTAGGGTGATGATGGTAGGCGTGCTCTAATATGGAGTCAACGATATTCCACCCACAAGGCGGTGGTCAACCGTCCGACACAGGGTTCATTACAATATCCGATTTGAACCTCAAGTTCGTCGTGCAAGATGTTCGACCCAAAGATGGAATTGTAAATTAATCCCCTATTGGTAACTTATTTCTAGTTCTCGCCATGATTCTCTGGGGTTAACTTGTTGGTCTTGTTTGGTTGCTTGAATAGGTGTTTCATTATGGAGTTGTTGAGGGTGCGGATGAGGAATGTGAATTTGAGATGGAGAAAGGAAAAGAAGTTCTTTTGTTTGTTGATGAGTCAGGGCGCCACCTTAATTCCAGGCATACAGCTTAATTCCCCACTCAATTCTTAATCAAATTTTACATTTAATTTTTACGTTAGTGTTAACAGCATTATTAGAACATGATTTATTTTATTATTTTAAGCTATCTGTAACAAAGCTTGAATTTTTGAAGGTAAAGTCCATTAAATGTATTTCATGGCAGTAACTGAATTCATAATACCAAAGAATTTAAGTTTGGATGGTGATAAATTGAAAAATATATATGTTGTAGTATCAAGAACTAATAAAAAAATGGATTGAAAATTGGCTAGGAATTGAATGAGATATGAACGAAGGCAGAGTTAAAAAGTTTAAAAGATAAAGTTTTGCGGGTTTGAAAATGTTTCATTTTTTTTCCTTGTTTGCAGATTACACTCGGCTGGACATTTACTGGATGTATGTATGCAAAAAGTTGGGCTAGGGCATCTGGAGCCTGGCAAAGGATACCATTTTCCAGATGGGTATGCTATAAATAAGTATTAGAATTGCATTAGGACTGTCTATCATCTAATTTCCAGTTGTACAAGGAACACGTGAGCTTCAACATTTAATTACCTCTGATGTTTTGTTTCCTCTCGATATAATGGGTGTGGTTTGTTACAATTATATAATGTGACTAAGGAAAAACTTTCTCACTTGCTTATCTGCAACTACTGATGATTTTTCTCCAACAACTCATGATCAA